TTGAAAAGTCTTAGTTTATTTTTTTCAGAGCAAAGATTGACTTTTGAATCTAATGAATTTTCGTTTTTACTATTTTGTTTTTGAAAAAACGTGAACCCGAATACCTTTTTCTGTATATTTGAGGAGTGTTTTCAGCTCCTCTTGTGTAATTACAAAGCCAAAAAAAAACAATCGATACCTTTCCAGATAGAGGAAAAAAGCGTAATTTTTTATTTAGCTGCACACATATGACTCTAGTCCAATTTTGTTCAAATTTTGTTGAATTCGAAAACAATCATTTTAACAAAAATCGATCTGAGTTTTTAAACTGTGTCTAAAACAACTCTTTTGGTGCAAAGTTAGCATTTTTTCTCCCAATTTCTACCAAATTCTTTGAAAACCAGCCCTGGAATCTTAGACCGATCCAGGAAAGCTAGGGTAATTCTCGTAGGACTTTGACCTGGCTTCTCCCCTGGCCAGGCCTGGCTCCAGTGATGGCTCTAGGGATGGATTTCCATGAATATTTATCCCTTGGGCAGAAATTGAAAATTAGTGGTGGTTATTGAAGTTCCTTTGCAATTCTTACTTAAAACCTACTAAAGCTTTACTGAACAGTTTTGAGCAGTTGCAGTGAGATACTTGTACAGCACTATAAAACTTCAAACTTCTAACAATTTGTCAGTGAACTATTGAGATAAACTTGAAGAGACAATTATCACAAAAATTAGATCTTTACCATTATAACCCAATCCAAGTTTGGAACAAACTATGGTTGATCTGTTTTTCCATAGTCCAGCCAGGATCGAAAAAAAATTCAATTGAAATCAACAGCCATCAACAGCAGAAATTGAGTAGGAAAATTGAAAAGGAAAATGCAAAATTCTACTTCAGCTAGCAGTAAACAGCACACCAGTGTTGACTTTGGTAGGCCTCCTTCCTGATAAATTGGACAAACTTCTTGCAAGTGCACCTCAAGTCTGACTCAGACAACAGAAAAAGAGAAAGAAATCAGGAACTTAGCCGCAGAGACAAGATGACATGAATACAGCATGACAAGTAGCATTTTTATATTAGCAGTGTTAATCAATAGTTACCACTGAAATACAGCGGGCAAGACAGTTGAATCTATTAAATGTTTTACAAAAAACTATCTGAGAAAAAGAAATTTAGGTTCAAAACTATTTTTCAACCAAAATGAGCTCTCTTCACTGCTAACAAAAAAATGAACTCTGTTTTTGTCATTGTGTGGATTTGTTGGTAACTTTACTCTTCTGTTTCGGCTCATTCAAATGAGTGCATGATACAATATAAACAGTAAAAAATATAAATTTAGTTCTTCAACTTCAATCAGTCATTTTTTTTTTAAAAAAACTTTTGGTTTGGAGCTTCTTTTTTTTTAAAAAAAATGTTTTGTCAGCAGCTCTTTCGTTTTTGTTCAGAACTTTCAATTACACATGCAACAAAAAAATTTTAAGTACAACTTCAGACTCTCACTGAAATTAAGCATAAGGATAGGTAATGTCTGCTGATTATAAATTTTTTTTAAGCACTGTTCCATTATCCTTTCTGAAGACATTAGATTTCTAGGGATATTTTAAAAAATTCTCGTTTCCGAAAAATTATCAATTTTAGAAACGGGCAGTGTCTGGTATAGAAGTTGATTGTCGATGGTTCAACATTTGTTAGTTCAACACAGTTCTAATATTCATTTTTGTTAGTCAGTTTCTGATTGCCAACTCAATAGGGTCAAAACTGCTGACAAACTGAAGTCAACGTTAAGAACTCCGCTCCGGGTGACCGAGATCAATTCCCCGAGAACTACATAGCTGTAGGGTAATGATGGCTTACTTTTGCAGCTGATTCAATATTTCATTACGAGGCCAAACTGTGAATTTTGAGAATTATAAGCGAGTTTCGCAAAAACAGATGCTCCCTTTGTTGTTCCTTTGTTCTTTCGATTCCTTTGATCGTTTCGACAAAGTTTTAGCATGTTTAAAGACTTCCCGCACTGACAGAAATGGTTTCCGGTCGATTTAAATTGATTTTAAATCGATTTTAAATCAATCCAAAGCGATTAACCATGTACATTTTACGAACTTAAATGGATTTTAAATCGATTCAAATCGATCTTTTTGAAAATTTTAAATCGATTTAAGTGTCTAAAAAGTCAATTTAAATCGATTTCGATGGATTTTTAGACTCACTAAAATCCATCCGAATCTCACTTAAATCCATCAAAATCTCGCTAAAAACCATTTTGAATCGATTTAAATCGATCTTTTTGAAATTGTTAAATCAATTTTAATGTCTAAAAAATCGATTTAAATCGATTTCGATGGATTTTCCGACACACAAAAATCAATTTTTTTGCTAACACGGCGAAAAAACATACCCTTTAAAAAAGTTTGTTGGAATTTTTTATTCTCGATTTTTTAAACGTAAAAACTCGTGCCAGATGTTATAGAATTGAATAAAATGATCCACATAAAACAGGTTTCAAACTCAAAAATTTGCAATAAAATCATAGAAAACCATTGTAAATCAGATTATGGGCAAAATTTTGTAACAAACTAGAAAAAGGTCAGGTAAAATTAAATTGCGATCTCAATAATATGCAATAAAATCATAGAAAATCACGAAAGTAAATCAGATTTTAAGCAAAAACTTATGAAACGAATCAAGAAAAGGGTCAATATAGATCAGTTTTTGAACTCAAAATATGCAAGAAAATCATACAAGTTTATCGATATTTTGGTCATTTTATTTGGTACTTTTGATGCTACAATACGCTATGGATGTAAAATGAAAAATGATAGGCAAGAAATAAATGCAATAAAATTTTGAAACTGATAAAACTCGAATGAAAAAAATCGATTTAAATTGATTTAAATCCGTTTTAATCCCCTTAAAAATAAAAACAAATTCAGACTGGAAAAATGCATTTAAATTGATTTAAAATCGATTTGGATCAATTTTTTAGCTGGGATTTAAGATCAATTCAAATCGATTTTAAATCGATCCAAATCAATCTTCATCTTTTTTATTTAATCTTCATACTTTTTTCATACTAAAATCGATTTAAGTTTAATCAACGTACTTTTTTCATACTAAAATCAATCCTAATCCAGTTTTGTCAGAGCGGGTTGTCTCTGGAATCCAGGAACATACAGACACAAAATTGTGCGCCTATCCTGTGCGCAGTCTGGCCTCGTAATGTTCTCAATTTAAAAAAAAATACTTCACAGAGCTTGAAATTAAACCAAACTGCTCGTATCAGGTCAAAGCCCTGAATGTTCCGGCTGCCTTTTGAGTTCTATGGCGCCTTAATAACATGAAAAAATTAAATATACAAAAATAAAATGAATTTTTTCTTAAATTGAGACTTTTTTTTCGACTTTTTTTATAAAGTTCAAAATGGTAGATTTCGCTAGTAACACATTAATTATAGCAAATAAGCTTCCTTCAACCAATTTGGAACAGTTTCTAAGACGGAACAAATCCCCGCTCACGCGGTAATAGTGCAAAGTATATCAATCGTTAATTGACCCAAATTGGCCAAAATGGAAATCTTAAAACCCACATAAACTAACAAAAAAAAAATAACAGGTAAAAATTCTTTTTGAATTTAAGCTCAAGACATCAACACTTTGCAGACGCTTACGATTTTTCCGTCAAAAATGGCTAGTTAAAAAGTCGAAAATTGTCTGAAGAAGAAAAAACCACCCCGAGCACAAATATTTTGTTACTTTCGATACGAAAGTTGGAACAATAATTATTTAAAGCAACTCACAATTTGCCGCCTCTAGTTTGTTTGACAGAATCACCGACTCGGGTTGACAAAAACTGATGGCCATACATTCTGATGGTTTAATTTGACGGGTGCAAAAGAGATTTAATAAATAGCATTATTCAACAAAATAAATCGCATGAGTAGCATTTATTCCGTAAATGGAATTGCATGAATACTTTGCTTGTATGGAGGCATATATGGGAGTTCGACGCTTGGAAAAAATTAAGTATGGGTACAAGAAAAATATTTTCTTTTTGGCTTTGATGAAACAAGGACCGAAGAAGCTTTTTTGGTTGGTTTTTATGCTTTTATCATTAGACAAAATTGAATTAAAGTATTTTAATTCGTTTTTAAGCCAATTTTTTTTTCTCTGAGGTCCAAAATATAGACTCAACTTGCATGAACTTTTTTTTTCGTTATCTAAAAATTAATTTTCAGCTAAAAAATAACAATTTTAACAAAAAAAAATTTTAAAGCTTGTCCTAAGCAAAAATGTAATTTAACTTGGCGCTACCCAAAAAGTCAAAAATAATATAAAGTTTGAAATTTTTTTCTTCAATTTTTTGTTTGTTATAAGTTTTTTTTTGAAAAAATGTTGCGACTGTTTTGAGTTCACTTTTCCTCTACACCTTTGTATATAAATTTTTCATCTCACAGCGTACAAATAACATTTTCAAATTGGACAAAAAACAAAAGATAGTTTTTTGTAGTTGTTATGAATATGCTCGGAAAATTCTGTGTTACCTGCACAGAAACCGTCTAGCTTTGTTTCTTTTGTGAACTTCAAGAATAAGACCATTTTTTATTTTCGAGGGAAAGGATCAACATACGAGATGTACAGCTCATCACGGCGAACCGCTGTTGTGCCCCCGCTGTTTTTCAGTCGATCAATTTGATTTCTTTTGTTTTGCTTTTGAAATAAACCAACTTAGAAAGTTATACAGCCAATTAAAGTTTGGTAACTACTAGGTGACTTTGGAATTTCGAAAATTTTTACCTTGAAATTTCAAATTAAGAGTTTCGATCCAAAATTGTATCACGCTTTCAGTGACGAGGTCATTGCCGAGTTATAATTACCATTAAATCAATATTTATGAAGAAAACCAGAAATATTGACAGCTTTAGAAGCAATCTCTGAATTTTCAATATTTTATTTAAAATGTCATGTTAACTTGACTTTTGGCTTATTTATGTTTGTTGTTTGCTTTGTTATAATGGCTATATAGTTTCTCTGGTAAATACTTTGACCTCATCAATTCTCAATTTTCGCGTTCTGAGTTTGTTATCAAATAATGCATATTAATGGGCTTTTTCGCTTTATGCTTTTGTTATTTTTATGTTTCACAAATATTGTATGCATAACTTTTTCGGAAAATGCCGATTTCAAGGAAAGCTTATCTCAGGAGAAAAAACGTTCATTAATAGTCAATGGGTTTGACGCGCCGCTTGAGAGGCCGTTTTTTGCGTCTCTCACTTTTCGACGTGGGGAAAACCCGTGTGGTGCATCTATCGTGGCTGAGAACTGGCTGGTAACTGCTGCTCACTGTGTTTACTCGTCTGATGGTAATTTATAGGCATAAGAAATCTTAAAAACGATAATGTAGTTATTATTTTTATTACAAGTTTTTTATCTGAAAAATGATTTAAGACGAAACTTCAATTCAAGTTTTTCTAACTAGTTTCAACAAGTTAAAAATCTAGCTGTCAGGGGAATACTTTAGCGTTTTTTGATCTGAGGGTCATTAAGAGGCCAAACTCTGCACTGCTTAGGCGCACAATTTGGTGTCTTTATATTCCTTGTTTCCAGACACAAGTCTTTAAACAGTTCCAAAATATCTTTAAAATTTTTTATTCTAATTGATATGAAACAAATTAGAAAAAGATAGGTAAAAATAAAATTAGATTTTTTAAAACAAATTTAAAATCTCTCAAAAGAACATGCAGCAAGACAAAAAACATAAATTTTTGCATTTTCAAATGAGATCAATAAAAATTAGTTGTAAGCCAGCCCGAATGAAATACTTCCAGTTTTGAAATGTAATCAATTTCAACCAATTAAAATTTGATTGAAGTCCTTTTTTTTCATCTGATTACTTTTTTGATAGTCGTACTAAATGAGAGTTTTTAGTTTTGTATAGGTATGGCTTTTTTGTGGGACAGTCAACAATGATCTGGAAGGCAAGTAATTTCAGCAGGGCAATCCAGTATAGTAGGAGAACTCGGAATGTTCCTTTCACCAATCAATTTTAGACGAATTTATCAAAAAATGCAAAATTCAGTCCTTTTCGTGTTCCTCTCGATCAAGAAGGAGTATTTGGCAAGATATTCCAAAATTTTGGTATATAAGGGTTTCCTTGAAAAACTTGCTAAGATAAATATTTTGCCATTTTGAAGTATTTTCTTAAAAAAAAAAATTCTGGACGACAGGAAAAAGCATGGATATTTAATTTTATATAAATCAAAAAAATCCAGCTTCTGCTATGTGAAAAATTCTGTTTTTAGTTTTGAGATTTTATAATATTTTTTCTATTTTTATTGGAATAGTCCTTCTAGTTTCGCATTTCTAGCCGTTGAAATTTGTTTTTCGAGTATTTATGTCACAATTTCGATCAAAAAATCAACTAGCTTGTTTGCGTGTATTGTTTGTTGTGTTTACAAAGAGACAATGAAAAATTATGATGAGATGATAAAACTAAGTATATGAAAGTTTCACTGTTTTGTTTTCTTCTTCCACAAACGCTATAGTTTGTCTTAGCGCGTAAAGTTTTTTTCCACAGAAAATATTTTATCTTTAAGGGTCTTGCTAAAATAGGCTTTCGGCAAGGAAGATCTGCTTGCAGTATTTTGATAAGAAGACAAGACTCCTTGAACGAATAGGGTTTGTTCTCTGTTGTCGTAAAAAGTTAAGGAACCCAGTTTACTTTTCCTACAAATGTTTCTACATCTTTATAATAATTTTGCTTGTTTCAGCGCGTGATATTTTTGTAGAAATTGGATATTTTGTGCTGGATTCAAGATACAACCAGCAGTATAGAGTGGAAAAGAAAATTCTTGCTAATGGGTAAGGAAAAGCGTTTGCTGTCCAATTGAAACAAAACATTTGTTTTTACATAAATTAATTCAGTGCTGTCTTCATAAATAGAAAACTGCTAATGACAAAAGTTAAACCTTGATTTTTAAACCCAAAAATCTACACACACACTTAACAAATTGCCAGCACCTTGATACCCAAGAAACACGTCAAGTTTTATCTTTTATGATTTTGATGAAAATATAATGATTCTTGGTTTCCATTAAAATTTTTCAATAATTTGTTTTAGTTTTCGAATGAGTGAGGAATTTGTCCATGACATTGCACTTTTAAAGCTCCGCGCACCAATTCCGAACCACCTCCGTATTTTACCTTTATGCGCTAGCCATTTACCACCTTTTGATGCGTCTCCTCAGCTTCTGGGCGCATGTGGTAGGGGTTCAACCTCCAGAACCCATTACATACCAGCAAACGTCCTCCAAGAAACCTTCTTTTATGAAAGCATGTTTGAATCAAACACGAAACCACACGAGCTTCGATTGTGCCGAGATGACAATGTTTGTGTTGAAAGTGTAGCAGAAGGATCTAATATGTGTCTTTTTGACGATGGAAGTCCCCTCTATGTTTTTGAGTGCGGAACTTTGAACCCAAAATGTCTATATGGAGTTTTCAGTTTCTCAAGAGGTCGGGTGGATACTCCAGGAGAGCTCTGTAACAATGGAAGCTTCTTCACGAATGTTCCTCGCTTTTATCACTGGATGAGCACAATTATCGAAGATAATTGAGAAACTACTTGTCACAACCTCTTTTCTATCTCGCACTGAAGTTTCATGGGAAGAAAATGATTGCAATGGATTATTTGCGCAAAAAACTTAATCCTTTCAATCGGTTTTCATGACCGATCTAACATGAAAACCGCGATTTTCAGGAGATTATAACCATTTTTATTTTCAATGTTTTAAAATACATTATAATCAATTATTTTGACGGTAGAATCAATTTTTAGGCCACAAAATTGAATGTTTTTCTGCAGAATCTTGAAACGCTTGGCTGCAATTTTGAAAAATTACATTTTGTGGAATATTTGCAGACACCAATAAATTTATTGTTCTGCAAATTCAGAACCCGAGCTCCAAGATTAGCACCCCCACTCCCAATTTAACACCCCTAATTAAGCCCGCATCATTTTACCTCCACCACCTTCCTTACCCCCGCCACCACCCTACCACTACCCTCATCTACCCTCCCCACACACAGAACCCCCCAGTTTTGACCTACATTACCCCAGTTTTACCCAATTGTTAAACTAGAAAATGTGGGAAGCGTGGCCTAAACAGGAGGGAAGGCGGAAGGTTGGAGAGGTGGTTGATAGAAGTGATGGTGGAGTTTAGGGGCGGTTTGGTGAGTGGGGGAGGGGCAGTCGGTGGGGGGAGGGGTAGTGGGCGACTGGCAATTTTCAAAATGGCGATGGTAAAAAACAGTCAATTAAATTGTTAAACTGTCAAATTGAAAAAGTAGAGAAATTGAAATACATAAAATACTATTGTGGAAAATTATGAAACATAGTCCGTAGCAACTGCACAAAACAGGATAACTTGCACAAAAAAGGAAATGATATATTTTGCAAAATTTGCAAAGTTTCTCAATAACTTCTCAAAAAATTTATAATAATGGGATTGATATAAAAAGTATTTTGATAATAACCCTTTGTTAATGGATTTTAATCAATTTCGAGGGACTATATTGTCGTAAACAATATTAGGATTATAATTAATTTCAAGGGTTATTTTTGTAATTTTATGGATACTGACTGCAAAATGTTTAAACAAGGTGTTTCAGATAGATGTAATAAGTAATACACCATTTAGTTTCACGTTGAATACCGTACGAAAAATTTTTTTTCGGGAAAACCTGCCCAAGATATATCAATTTGGTCCCAATGAGTCAAAAATTTAATTCAACAACTTGTTCACATTTTTGTTTGCGGCCTAATGAATTCTCCTTGCATTTTGTGCTGAACAAGATACTAGTGCTGAATTGAAACAATCTGATGAAATGAAAAAAAACTGACTTTTCAAACTAGTTTTTCTCAATTGCAGTAGTATTTGGCCAAAAACTGAAGAGGACAAAAACTGCTTGGAAGTTTACCAGCTTCATCCAAAATTACACCAGCGAATCCGTCATTTCTTTTTTTTTTCAAAATTGAGGAGGACAAAAGCTCTTTTGATATAAGAATACTACAATTTAGCCTGTGTACCCCCCTCATTTTTGTACAAAATTATTGATCCGTTTGAAACCTGTAATTTTGGTTCAAAACCTGAAAGAAAATTGCACCATAAAAAAGCTAGCACAAATCAAAGCATTTTTTGTCGTCATCATATTTGACCAATTTTTTTTTGAAATCGAGAAAAACGAAGCTGAAAATTCAAATTTAGTTCTTATCATCCGGCTGTTTTAATTCAGAACTGTAGTTTCTTGTTCAGCCCAAAATGCTGGAAAAATTCAACAAAATCAAGCAAAACGTGTGAAAAGTGTTAAATTAAATCATTGACTCATTGGTACAAAATGGCTAAATCTTGGGTATGTTTTCCCGAAAAAAAATTGTTTTTGTTTCGTAGGGTGGTTAATCGTGAAACTAAAGAATGTTTTACTTAATGAACCTATCTGAAACACCCTGCATAAGCGATTATTATCCATGAGACTACAATGCGGGATCATAGCCCTTATTTTTCAACTTTTTTAAGTTGAAGGTCAAAGCTACATGATGTTTTGAAGTTTAGTCCAAACAGAAGTTTTGTTTGTTCGCCATACTCATCATACCGAACTCAGCAGTTTATTTTCAGTAAATTGTAACCGAAAGTTCGGAAAAAGGATTTTCTTAATGCACTTTTTGAAAAAATTGGTATTGCATATTACAGAAAATTATTGCATATGAAAGAATTTAGGCGACAATTTCGTTGAGAGTTTCAAAATTTTGATTTTCAATAAAAACTTTCATATTTTTATGCAAATCTTATTATATCAATCATTACGACGCGAAACTGTGTATTTTGTGAATTTTAAGTGGAATCTGCACAAAGGATTTTCTTTGTTTTCTTTTTTCTTTCGTTTTCTCTGATTGCTCTGACAAATTTTTAATTTGCTCATAGACTTGCCTCTGGACTCCAGAGACCTAGAGACACCAAATTTTGCCCCTATCCAGTGCACAGTTTGGCCTCTTGATGTTTCGTAAAAGTCCTTTGAAAAAAATGCTTTAAAATAGATTGGTTAAGCTGATCGTGATATAAAACAGTTATAATTGATTTCAAACGTACAGAAAAGAGTTCTCAAAGTATGAGAGAAAGCTTACCATACAGTTTCTACACACAAAAATTGTGTTATATGCATTTTTTTTAATTTTAATTCTCATTTTGTCATCCAAAGGGCTTTCATTTATATCAAAACTAAGACTCAAGAAAATGACTCAAAATGACCAAAACCAATCGTGAATACTGCTCATAAAAAAATACCCAAATGGAACAACTAGATGACCTCAATTTGATCTGAATACATAAACTACGAGAGAACTAAATGTTTTTAAAGCTTTTTAAATGAAAACAAACATATTCAAAAGAAATTTTCAGAGGAATATCTTCTTACAAAAAATTGTTGTTGCAGTTGTTTTTTTTTCGAATTTTTTCAAAATTTTGATGAACAACTCTTTTTTCAAACTTTTTGAACCAGGCGTCTTTGTATTGATGACAGAAATTGAAAATGGTGAAAACATCGCTGTCGTATTTAGACCCCATTTTTGGCACTTTTTTGGACTTATCCATAGTTCAATTAACAAAAAAACAAACTCCTCTTAAACATGACAAAACAGAAATTTGATGAAAAATTACAAAGTTAGACAATTTGTTCGCATAAAAATTTCGTAAGTCGTTTTCTATTAATCAAAAAGGAACCTTTGCATTCGGTGCGCTCACCGTCAAGCTGTTCTGCTTAGAGTAATAAACAACAAAAGATCCCCGATTCCAATAATCCATGGTTCAGTTTGTTTGCTATTCAACAATCCTACTGGCTCATCGTGGTAACCGCTCGCATATTCGGATTACTCTTGTTGGTTTCCAGATCCGCGTGCACAAAGTCTACCCGGATGGTCCCTTTTCCTTGTAATCCCCCACCTTTAGCTTCTCTGGCGCATAAGTTGCACAAAAGAATTTTTGTTGGGCAGTTGTTCAGGTGTCCCTTGTGAAGTTTGGTGCTTCGCAGTTATAACATCGACGCGTACTTTGCGTGATTCTCTGAATCCCGTAGAACACTAGTTGATCAAGGATGGTTATCTTGCAAGATCTTGCAAGAATTTTGCAAGAATCTTTAAAAGATTATGTATAACTTAAAAAGATCTTGCAAGAGAACCATCATGCAAGATAACAAAATTTTTTGCAAGATTTTCAAGAAACAAAAGTTCAGAGAAATTAACAGCGCCAAATGGACAACCAAATGGCGTCGTTGAAGAAACTTTGAAAGATTTTGTAAGATATCTTTAGAGGGCGGGTTAATATCCTGAATTTTGATTGTTTAAAAGACTCTAATCTCTAGCAAAACATGAAAAACAATTATTGGTGAAACATGAATTAAAAAATCGTTTACAATTTTTTTTTCCATGGCCCTGTCCTCTCATGTAATAGTTCCCTCGTCAAATTTCCCCCATCGGTTCTGGCCCCAATAGTAACTGACGTATGCCGAGTATCCTGAGTATCCCGTATAAGCCTTTGTACGCTCCCGCACTCAAACGAAACAGCTATAAGATTCACCTCTTTTGGTGTTGTAGTGGTTCTGAATAGTGCCTGTTGGCATTCGGAATCCCGCATGAAATTATCCATTAGGCTCCCAGATGTGTTTGAAGTTCTAAAATATTCCATAATTTTACATCGCGCTTAGCTCCGCGTGAAACTTCTCGGGTTTTTGTTTTGTTCCGTAAAACCAACCCCGTTCCAGAGTTTTGTTTCCGTTTCTTCTAAACACGCTTTACATTTTACCCATTACAATTTTTTTTTCAAAATTTTCAGCTTTAACTTCTTGTTTTCTAGATTTGAGCTATCGATGCTATTCGTACCCGGTACACGTGAAAAAGTTTTTTATCAACTCCTCTAGGCGGCTTTTCCTTTCAACTTACTCGCTTGGTTCCATTATTGCCGTTTCAAAGTTTTGGCTAAGTAAACTCACCCGGATAAATGTCGTTTCGACCGACCAATCCCTACTGGAATCAGGCAATCAGGTGTACCGGGGGCTCCGACTTTTTCAAAATGGAACTTTTTTGATGAGTTGAACCCCAGTTTTTTCCGCTGGAATTCCCAAAGTTTCAAGTTATCAATTGAGTTTGAATTGTAATGAGTTTTATGTTGAAATCACAGCTGCGCTTGCATGACATAAATAAACCTATCTCCAGAAATCTCAATGCACACTAAGTGTGAACATACGATCTGATATCATCGCATATGGTGGTTGACAGGTTGAGTTGCCCGGGATGACCGAAACTTCTTATCATACAATTCCCATATATGAGAAAATTCTTGTCATACAATTCCATACAATGCCATACGTACAGAAAATTGTATGAAATCTCTATGATAAACATTTTTCCATAAATGAAAATTGTATGATAGGGTGTTTTTCCATAAACCAAAAAACTTGATTTATTCTTTCTGAATAATTTTCGGTTGTGTTTGCAGCCAAACACAAGTGACAAAGACCTTGGTTACTCAAAGCAGCAAAGGTTGGACGGTCTTTGCATTTGCAATGCATAGAAAACGACCTGAGTTCGGCTGTCTTTCACAATTGATATAACAAAAGCAACAAACTTTTAGTTTTTGGCAAAATTTTTTAATGGTGATTATTTTAAATTTTTGAATTTTCAATTTATCAGACATTGATCAAGGC